TATTTATTTTGAGAGACAGTTTTGTTCTTGTTGCCCAGGCTGGAGTGTAATGGCGCAATCTCGCCTCACCGCAACCTCCACCTCCCGGGTTCAAGCGATTCTCCTTCCTCAGCCTCCCAAGTCGCTGGGATTACAGGCATGCGCCACCACGCCCAGCTAATTTTGTATTTTTAGTAGGGACGGGGTTTCACCATGTTGGTCAGGCTGGTCTCAAACTCCTGACCTTAGGTGATCCATCCACCTCCCAAAGTGCTGGGATTACAGGAGTGAGCCACCAGGGCGGCTTTTTTTTTTTTTAAGCTGGATTCTCGGACTCTCTCGCCCAGGCTGCAGCCTTCCCCTCCCGGATTCAAGCTATTCTCCTGCCTCAGCCTCCTGAGTAGCTGGGATTACAAACATGCACCACCTCACCTGGCTAATTTCTTTTTGTTTTTTTGTTTTTGAGACAGTCTCACTCTGTTGCCCAGGCTGGAGTGCTGTGGTACGATCTCGGTTCACCGCAACCTCCACCTTCCTGTTTCAAGCAGTTCCCTGCCTCAGCCTCCAGAGTAGCTGGGATTACAGGCACAGGCCACTACACCGGGGGGGTGGGGGTGTGTGTGTGTGTGTGTGTGTGTGTGGTTTTAGCAGGGACAGGGTTTCACCATTTTGGCCAGACTGGTCTCGAACTCCTGACCTCAGGTGATGCACCCGCCTCCGCCTCCCAAAGTGCAGGAGTTGCAGGCATGAGTTACCTCACCTGGCCTACCTGCCTATCCTTTTTCCCAAACCAGGAGTCTGAGCCCTTTCCTTATCTGGGGCTCCAAAGTCTGAGTTCCCAGATCCTCAGACATGTAAATCAGAATGCCTCAGACCCTTCCTTCTCTCACATCCAGGAGTCTGTCCTACAACCCCCTTCTCTTTTAGGACCTAGTAGTCCAGGCCCCCAAAATCTTCCTTGCCCAGGACCCAGGAGCCTCCTGCCTCAGACCCAAGGGTTCCCCCATCCCTTACCTTCTTCAGGTAGAAAAGCAGCAGGAACTTGACCGTGTTAAGCAGGGGCAGTAAAGGGCAGAAAAAACTCCCCACCCAGACCACAGTCTGCGCGTAGATAAGCCCCAGCACCTCGTCGGGCACCTGGAACTCCTGGGTCGCTGCCAGACGACCAAGCGCCCCAGGACAGAGGCCGCAGAGGAGCCTGAAGGAAGGGGTGGGGCGGGGCCGAGCCTAAGTCAGGGGCGTGGTGGCCCGGAGTTCCCCCGCCTTTACAGCCCCACCCACCAATAGGAAGCAAGCGTATCTGAGGGGGGGGCGGGACTTTCAGGACTCCACGTGGAGGCAGAGGGGGTGTGTCCAGAGGGCGGGTCCTGAGGACTAGACGAGACAGGACCCAGGTGTGCGGCGGTAGGGGCGGGGCCAGAGAGAAGGAACTAACTAAAACCAGGATGGGAAGCGGAGCGATCTGCGGACCCAGGGCCAGCAAAGAGAGCGAGCAGAGGCGGGAATAGCGAAAAGCGGGGGGGGGGGTGAAAAGGGCAGCACGAGGGGGCAGGGCCTGGTCCTGGCAGGGCGGGGCTCTCACTTTCGAGGAAACTGAATGAGCAGCGCGACTGCCAAGCCAGTCAGCAAATCAAAGAGCAGGAGCTTGTACATTTCCTGGCCCACGACAGTCTCCCAGCACTGAAGAAAAAATAAATAGGTCAGAAAGACCTCAGAACCCGGACACCTGGAGGCCCCAGGCGTCCGAGTCTCGACATCCCAAGCCTATGAGACCCTATTAATACTTTCTCTGGGGGTCCTCGTTTTTCAAACATCCATACCCTTGGGAGAGTGTTCCAGCAACCCAAGCTCCCCCCTCCACCCAAACCAAGTCTGGTCCCACGAAGCTCCTTCTTTCCTTTGGGGACCCTAACGTCCCAGACAGACCCCACGCCGTTCTCACCGGAAGTTCTTTGTAATTGTAGCCACAGGTTTTGCAGTCCTCAGCCTCGGCGTCGCCCCCACAAGTGATCTGATTCCAGAGAGAGAAGAGCAGGACCACCAGGGAGGCCAGGCGAAGAAACAGGGTCCTGGCGAGGGGAAGGCGGAGGAGAATGGGCCCTGACCTGGTACCCACCACGTGGTGGTTCCCTTCTCAGTGGAACGCGCTCAGATTCAACCCAGCTCACAGATGAAGAAACTGAGGCCCAGTTTCAGAATCAAGATTTTTCTTTAAACAGGGTCTCACTCTGTTGCCCAGACTGTAGTGCAGTGGCGTGATCTCAGCTCTCTCCACCTCCCAGGCTCAAGTACTTCTCCTGCCTCAGCCTCCCAAGTAGCTGGGACTACTGGCCTGGGCCACTACCGCCAAGCTAATTTTTGTATTTTTAGTAGAGTTGGGCTCTCATCTTGTTGGCCAGGCTGGTCTCGAACTCCTGACCTCAAATGATCCACCCGTCTCGGCCTCCCAGAGTGCTGGGATTACAGGTGTGAGCCACCAAGCCCAGCTGCGAGTCAGGATTTGAATCCCTGGATCCGATATCCGCAGGATTTCTGTGTCTTACCTGTCAGGGCCAACGTCCCTTTGACCGCCCCCACCCCTCATCATTCCCAGCCCTCCCCATGAGGCTGGAACCTGAGCAGGATTAAAACGATCTGGCGACTCCGGGTGTAGCCCTCCAGTGGAGCAATCAGCTTGAACACGGGCGGCAGCACAAAGTTGACCCCGGCGATGAAGATGGACGGAAGGTAATTCACCCCAAGCTTCAGCAGTGGCATCTCCTGGACAAGGGGCGTCTCCTGGGAGGGGGAGTGGACCATGAGAAGAGGCTCGGGGTCCTGGAGGAGACAAGCTTAAGGTCCTCCCCCCCAGCCTCTTCCTCCTTTAAAACCCCAAAGTCCAGGGTCCAAACATACCCCACCCCATACTTTTTTTTTTTTGAGACAGAGTCTCGCCCTCGCTCTGTAGCTCAGGCTGGAGTGCAATGGCGTGATCTCGGCTCAATGCAACCTCCGCTTCCCAGGTTCAAGCAATTCTCCTGCATCAGTCTCCTGAGTAGCTGAGATTACAGGCGCACACCACCACGACCGGCTAATTTTTTGTATTTTTAGTACAGATGGGGTTTCACTATGTTGGCCAGGCTGGTCTCGAACTCCTGACCTCGGGATCCGCCCGCCTCGGCCTCCCGCAGTGTTGGAATGGCAGGCGTGAGCCACCGCGCCCGGCCCCCTTACTTCCTAAGATATCTGGCTTCCCAGACTTCAGTCCCCTCCTTCCACCGTTGGAATTGTAGCTTCCAGGACCCCCCGACTTCCTTTTCAAAGACCCTCCGCACCTGTAGCTCCACGGTGGACTGTGTAGCCCAGTAGACGCCATAGAACGCTGCCCCCAGGAGCGCGACCACCAGCAGGTTGAGCAGCACCCGCACCGACCAAACCCTGGCTTGCTGGCCCAGCGTCCGCACCGCAGCCTGGCGACGCAGCATCGTCTCCTCCAGCTCCACCTGAAGGCAGGAGAGGTGCCCGCTTGGACCCCATTTCCCAAGGCGCGGGCCTCTCGGTTCCCCAGGCCTGGGCCTCCAGAGATCCTCCTCCACGTGAACCGCTGCAGCCGTCTCCCCACCCGCTAACGACCTCTGTAGTCCGGGTTCCACCTGCGGCCCTTTAGAGCCACGTCCTTGCGGCCGAATCCCGCAATCCAAGCCCCTATCCCTCCGCGGCCAATCTCAGCACCCAAAGCTCCGCCCACCACGCCAAGACCCGCCCCTGTCGGCCCCGCCCACCAGAGGCTCCGCCCTCAGGACGCCCCGCGCTTATGCCTGGCCTGAAGATCCAGTTCAGCTGTATCAGGAGGTGCCGCTGGCCGCTCCCATCACTTAACTTTGAACCAAGTTGCCTTAGGCCCCGCCCGCTTCTTGTGCTTATTTAAAACAATTTTTTTTTGGCGACGGGGTAGAGTGGGAGTCTCCCTATGTGGCCCAGGCTAGTCTCGAACTCCTGAACTCAAATGATTCACCTGCCTCGGTCTCCCGAAGTACTGGGGTTACAAGCATAAGCCACCGAGCCCATCCCTTGCGCATCCTTTTCCTACATCCTTGGACCTCGGGGGGCCCTATGGCGGCCTGCTCTCAACCCTCTCATTCCCTAGGACCTGACTTTCTTGGAGAAAGAGCTGCCTAGCGTCTCTCCCGAGGCCCCATCGCCGGGTTAGGCGCCCTGCATTATCTGAGCCCAGCCCTTTCTGATCCCTACCCAGTTGCACACCCCGCCCCCTAAGCGCACCTGTAATTCGTACAAGATGATGCGCTGGCGCAGCCGCACGTGGACGTCCCCGCAGAGGCCGAAATCCCAGGCCGAGAACACCCGGTGGCTGTAGCTGGTCAGAGCCCCAGACTCTGCCAGCAGTGTCTGCTTCAGCCCGGACACCGAGCTGAGAGGGGCGACCCGGGAGATGGGATGTGAAAGGACAGCCAGGAACGGGGTTATGGGGGGCCATCTCATATGGGAGAAATGGGGAAGATGAACCCTAAAGACTTGGGCACTAGGCGAGCTGCCACATGATGGAGAGTCAGAGGCAGATACACATACAGTCACTGAAGGCAAAGTCCAAGGGAGATTCAGACACAGACCTGGGGTGCAGGAACCCCAAAGAGAGAGGCAGTAACCTAGGAGATAGGGACAGAGCCCTGGATCGAAGGGGCCCGAAACCAAGGGTGAGAGGGGCAGAGGCCCTGAGGAAGACAGATTTGGAGGAGGGACAGAGGTCCCAGAAGGAGATTGGGAGAAAGGGAGACAAAGACAGAAAGGAGAAACAAAATCTATGAAAGACCCATATCAGAGACCCGGAGGAAGTACAGGCACCCAGAGAAGGGGCTGGGGTGGGAAGACCTGAGAAGAAGATAGAGACCCAGAGAAAACGGCAGGTAGAGAGAATCAAGAGAAGGGGGCAGGCCAGCCATGGTGGCTCACACCTGTAATCCCAGCACTTCGGGAGGCTCGCCTGAGGTCAGGAGTTCGAGACCAGCCTGGCCAACATGGTGAAACCCTGTCTCTACTAAAAATAAAACAATGAGCCCGGTGTGGTGGCGGGCACCTGTAATCCCAGCTACTTGGGAGGCTGAGTCAGGAGAATCACTTGAACCCAGGAGGTGGAGGTTACAGTGAACTGAGATCACGCCACTACACTCCAGCCTGGCTGACAAAGACTCCTACTTAAAGAAAAAAAACAGACAGACCCTGAGAAGAGTCTCAAGAAAAAAGGGGGGCAAAGACCCAGGAAGGAGATGGGAGAACCACAGCAGGGGCAGAAACAGAGCTGGACAAAGAGACCACGTGCACCTTCACCGCCCTGGCCCTGCCCCCATCAACTTATGTGAACAACCACAGAGGGCCCCCACCTGGTCTCCTTGCTTCCACCTGTGCCCTCTTATAATCCATTCTCTCTTCTTCAACCAGCAGGACCTTCTTTTGATGCAACTCAGACCGTATTCTCTGTTTAACACTATTCCAGGGCTTTTCTCTGCTCTTACAATCTAGGCTTCTTCCTAGCATAAGCTGCCAGGGCCTGCCTGATCTGACCCCTCCCTTCTCAAAGCTTAAAAATCCTGTCCTTTTTTTTTTTTTTTTTTTTCACTCTGTTGCCCAAGCTGGAATGCAGTGGCGCAATCTGGGCTTACTGCAACCTCTGCCTCCCAGGTTCAACTGATCATCCTGCCTCAGCCTCCCGCATGGCTGGGCTTACAGGCATACGCCACCACGTTCAGCTAACTTTTGTATGTTTAGTAGAGACGAGGTTTCACCATGTTGGCCAGGCTGGTCTCAAACTCCTGACCTCAAGTGATCCACCTGCCTTCGCCTCCCAAAGTGCTGGGATTACAGGCAGGAGCCACCGCACCTGTCCCTGTCCCTTCTTCTCATACGGGCCTTTTATTTCTTGCAACACCTCAAACCTCTTTCCTACCACAAGGCCTTCGCATTTGCAGCTCCCTCTGCCTGGAATGCTGGTGTCTTGGCTGTTCATCTGCCTGACTCCTCATCTTCCTCTCTTTTTTTTTTTTTTTTTTTTTTTTAAGAGACTGGGTTTCTCCATGTTGGTTAGGCTAGTCTCAAACTCCTGACCTCAGGTGATCCTCCCACCTTGGCCTCCTAAAGTGCTGGGATGTGTGAGCCACCACACCCGGCCTATCTTTCTGGTCTTCATCTTCAGGTCCCCTACTCCAGATAGAGGGGCCTTACCCATCATTCTCTACCACAGGGGTTGGCAATCAGCAGTCCATGGGCCACATCTGGGCCAACCACTGTTTTTGTCAAAGTTTTGTTGGCAGGCAGACACACCTACTCATGTACGTATTGTGTGTGGCAGCTTGAGCATGACAGTGGCAGAGCTGAGTCCCAGACTGTATGGCCTTCAAAGACAAAAATTTACTTCCTGGCCCTTCACAGAAAAAGTGTGCTGATTCTTGCTCTATCGTCACATCCCATTTGTTTTCTGTATAGCATTGCTCCCGCACTCAAATCATGGATGTGCTCATTTATTTAACAGTCTCTCCCACAGCTTATCTCTCCTGCTAAACGGTAAGCTATGCAAATATAGGGGGCCCCCAAATGGTTCTCCATGTCCTAGTACAGTGCCTGGGCTACGGAGACACTGCACTACACTATACATATATTTTAAAGATTGAAATGGGTCAGGTGCAGTGGCTCATGCCTGTAATCCCAGCACTTTTAGAGGCCAAGGCAGGTGGATCATCTGAAGTCAGGAATTTGAGACCAGCCTGGCCAGCAAAGCAAAACCCTATCTTTACTAAAAATACAAAACATCTGCTGATGACATGCAGCTAAAAAAAAGAAAAGAAAAAACAAATACAAAAAGTCAGCGGGGCATGGTGGCAGGTGCCTGTAAACCCAGCTACTTGGGAAGCTGAGGCCGTAGAATCACTTTAACCCAGAACGCAGAGGTTGCAGTGAGCCAAGATAGCGCCATTGCACTCCAGCTTGGGCAACAGTGAGACTCTGTCCTCCAAAA